TCCCTAAATAGCGGGATCCCAATATCAACCCCAATATTTTAGGAAACACTTAATACAAATCTTTTGATGCATTTTTCTTGCCTTCGTCTCCGGCCTTCAGCCTTCTTTTCATGATGTCATTTGGCGGTTTACCAAAATTAGGGGTATCACTTTGGGGGTTCCTTGCCCCCCCTCTCATTTTGGTAGATTTCCATTTATTGCGAGATGACGATATGGAATATGCGGGGTTATAGAAAGGTCCCATAGAAAATATAAATAAAAATATACGTCGGATATCAAGATATCTTCGAAATGAAAAGACATTGATATATATCCATTCTATTATGGATTTGAAGAAGATCTTTCTTTTTTATATTATCATATAACGATTTTGAAATATATTTATTATCATTTCATATATGATATAATATTTTCTAGAATGATAATGATGAGCTAGAAATTGATATATTTGATTTTCATGTAATTAGAAATTCTTCGTGCCGAGAGATCTATTCTAGATAATAGATTTTGAAATATCGTTCTAATTATCTAGGACATCTTAATTATATGATTTATCGATCTATGATCTTATTATTCAAATATCTCAATCGAATATCTCGATTTAATATTCATTAAGATATTATTCATGAAAAAAAAGATAAATTTAGAAATATTGATAGACATATTGAATTTCGATATTTCAATAATTTGATGAAGAGAAATTCAATCGAAAATTGATTAAATATTAAAAATCATTTTTGATACGGAATTTTCATATTTAGAATATATATTTATTTATTATAATTCATTTTTTATCGCGAATATTTGATATTATTCTTTATTCATATAATATTATTAAATACTCTTATAGAAAATCAGAATCTAATAATGAATTATATTTTTTCTTTATATATAACTTGTAGATAATTCTAAGTCTAGTTAAGAATATTGATTCTGAGGAATGAAAATTTAGATTTGGTCGTTATTGATGAAAATATTTGAAAAAAAATTATGGCAAAAAATACGATGAGCAGATAATATCTATAATAAGATCGTATATGAAATTCGATGAAGTATTCATCATTTAAGCTCGTATATGACGCACAGGTAATCAAATAAAGAAAAATAATTCGAAATCTTGCCAAAATTTTGGCATCTCGAACGATTTTTTAGATTATCTGCGCGGCGACCCGAGGGAAGTTATCAATTTCCGTGAATAAATACGAAATAAATCACGTAGAATATATATAATCTGATATGAATGCCTACAAATAATTAATATTTAAAATCGGTCATGACTAAAAACGATCAATTTGATAGATTCTCGAAAATTACATAGCTCCGTCCCGCCGCGCAGGCAACCGTTGATTCCTCTTTTCGAGAAGATGCCTTATACACCTTATCCGAAGAGAAATTATTCGAAATCTCAAGAGATTTCGACCCGCGCATTCCCCTTCCAAATCTATTCCAATTTTTCCGTTTCATTTATCTTCTTCTTCTTTTCCTATCTGCACGGCGGATCGGAAGAAATATATAAATCGCGTAAATAAGAATAATTAATAACTAAATCAAGAAAAATGATTTTCCGTCTCGGGTATATACTCCGCGGACCTGCCATACAGAGAACCAAAGAGAATTAAATCACGCGAACACCATCCAATAGCAGGAACCGCACGACCAAAAATCTCCGAAATATATAGTCGTCTCGCCCGAGCAAAAAATCTCGAAATTCCGAAGTATTCGAGAATCTCCGAAATTCGAAATTTGAAGATCCTAGAAAAATATATATATATATATAAATGAACTAGAAAATCCCCAATGCACGCTCAAAAAAATAAAGAATGCCTTATGACCGTCATTAATTTTGTTTATAAATATCTTTCTTTATTTCGAAATTTCATAGAATATTGCGCGATATATATCCATTTAGAAATCATTCGAATAATTAATCAATATTTTGAAAAGAAATATCATATCTTTATGAAGAATTCTTCCTAATCCAATCATGAATCAATAATAAATATTAATATATATATTCTCGTATATTATCAAAAAAAAATGCAAGAAAATTAAAATCAATCGAAATATCAAATAAAAAAAAATGAATTATAAAAAATATCACGATAATGAATCAAAATCAAATATATTTCTTCATTTTCAATTCGAAAATCATCAAGATTTTCCGATCAAAAAAATAAAATCTATAAATCATAATGAAAATACAATTAATTCTTTGGTCAACTATTATATCGTAGATCGGGGTTCTGATAGCTTCAGATTTTGATAGGGATCTTGGAATCATCTTTTCTCTCTCCTTTATTGGGTTAACAATATTTCTTTCTGGCCTTTCTCATCTTCCAGCAAGTTGAGCCTGTAGCCTGCCCAACAAATCCGTTTATCTCCGGCCGCTGGCATTCTCCGGCCACTAGCCTTCCTCCTCCAAATTAAAATAATCAAGAGTTCATCGCTGGATAAAATGATGGCGGTTTTTCGGGCGTCACATCAGGTCCGCCCTCTCGTCAGCATCGTCGTCATCCTGGCTTAGATGGCGGCATCAATGTTGTTTCATTGGCTATCTTGTATCTCAAGTTTTTACATTTCCAATAGGCTTCATATGGGCTATATTCTAAACTCCTAGCATACTCTCAATATCCCCTATAATACTCCCCTATCTAATCCCCATGTATCCCGCTTTGTGGAGTTGAGACTATAGCTCATATCTGGATCGACTTTGAGCATGCGAGCCAGTCCGAGGGATTTGATTGGAATGCAAACAATGAGGGCTGATTGCAAGTAATGCAAAGACTGCGCTGATTCCTCACCACACTGCGCGGAAAAGAACATTCGCTTGCTCGTTTATATCTAAATGTATCTAGAGAGACAAGTACTCATTTTACTTCTACTCTATGGCAAACAAAGCTGCTTGTGAACCTACACCTATTTGCAGGCCGTTTATGTACGGCTCTGGAAAATGCCGGTACTTCAAGAATCAGTTCAAGCTGCAGAACGTTCGCGAGCAGGTGAAGGCTTGCTAAGCAGCAGGAGTCATTTACATAGACATCATGTCACGCTATGCAGGTTGTAAAGCTGACCGCGGCGAAGGAAAAAAAGGACAGCTTGCTGCCATGCTACGATACATGTGGAGTCTGACTTCCTATCAACTCCACACGCAATGGCTTTCCATTGTGTCTCTAGATTCTTCACTATCCTCAAGCTTTGAGTTCCCTCCAGAACTACTCGTACGACTGGTTGTGGGAGTGATACTAGTCCTGCCTCTGCTACTGCTGCTTTTACCTTGACGGGGCTCTACTTGGTTATATCCTTGAATGTTATGACGCCGCTGATGGATGCAGGCTGCCACTCCGAGCGAAATCGCTTATTGCGGTCGTCGAAGCTCCATCAGCGGCGACATCTCAGAATTACTTACCGGTTGAGGGTTGTTTGCACGGAACTACCCCCACCCCCCCCCCACCCCTCCCCCATTCCCAACCTATTGTCCTTACAATGAAGTTACGTAAAACGTAGTGCCTTGGGTGACGCTAACAACAACAACAGCAGCAGCAACAACAACAACAACAAGAACTACTACTACTACTGCTACTACTACTACTATTATTACTACTACTACTACGACGACGACGACTACTACGACGACTACTGCTACTACTACTACTACTACTACTACTCTACTCCTCCAAATACGCTTCCCTTGCTAACATCTAGTAATTTTGCTTATACTGAGAACACAGGCCCTCCGCAGTCCCGATCTTCGTTGGCATCGGGAGGAATGGCAGCAGCCAGATCTGCCTCGCCGGAGCACATGGGCTATAGTTACAGTCCCTCATAAGTAGATAGAATGTCGGGTGTATGGGGATCTTATTGTAATATACCCAAAGCCATATTCTATCTACTCAAGGGGGACTATACCATAGTTCACATAGGGGGGCACGCCGCCTCTTGATGAGATTTGGGGCTTAGGGCTGTTTAGGGACATCTCCCCCACGTCAGGTGTTCATCTCTGCCATCGACCCCGGCCCAATTGCAGCGGTAACCTATGAACCTTTCTTAGCAAAGCCTTTGACAAAAGGCCATCTCTTTTGAGATCTCTTCAGGTCTGCTACTTTGAGAGCCCAAACCCTTGGGTCAAGCAACATGCCTCAATACTCTTGGCGAGATTGATGAACATGCGTGTATGTGTAGAGGTTATGTTCAGGAATGAGGGAATATAATCTCTGGTTAATCCCTATATAACGAATTCCCTTATTCCTTGCTAGCCCCCAGTAAGAAGAATCCCCATCAGTTCGTATTTGATCACCTGTAGGGATCTCAGCACGTCTGTCCAGGTGGGTTTCCAGAGATGGGGGTTCCTTCCACAACCTGGCTTAGAGATGGCAACAAGGGACCCCTAAGTCTGGATAGTGGGGATTTCTAAGGCCTTGAAGGGCATCTGAAATGGGACTGTCTCCAAGGCTTCACGAATGCACCCATGCGAGACATTCCCCTAAACCCTAAGCCCCTAAACCCTAAACCGCGCAGATCGAGAAGAGGATTCACATATCAAGGCCGCTCCAGAAATTCCCCGCCTTTTTCGCGAAATGCATTGGAAATCCCGTCACTTCAACCCAAATATCATGACCTAGTGCCGCATGATGAATCAGCTCTTGCATCGTAGTGAAATCTAAACAGTTTTGAGAGCCTGTAAGATGGTGTAGGATGCCTGATTGCCTTCAATGTGAATGAGAACATATTCAGAATTCGAGGGACGAGCTGATTGCTTAAGAAGCTGCGGAAACCATTGAAGTCTAAGGCTGTTTCAAGCAGATCAACATTCAGGCGCCAAAGTTAAGCAGTCTTGGGGTCCTGAAAGGCTTGGGGACCAAGTCTAAAGGGTGTTTGCAACGAATACCTCGAGTGATACCCTTCATACTGCAAACCTTACGCCTACTGAAAAGTCTGTGCCATGACTTTCTCAAGCATCGCAAGCCAGCAAGCAGCACTTTGCCTGAATGCGCTTCCGCTTCTCACGCACGCTCCTAGGTAGGTCTGGCTTGAATAGACGCCGGGTTGTTGTGGGAAGGTTTGCTGCGGTTGTGCGGCCTGCTGGGAGACATACGAGGAGATTCAGTTGATGTAATATTAATAGAAAAATCGCAGTAATAAACAGTGATACAAGCAATACAAAGGCAAATATAGAGCTTGTTGACAATCCAGCAGACTTGGTATGTCCCATCGTTGCCCAGCACTACACCATGTGACAAACGGAACACTATGCTCCAATGCCGATGCCGCTTGCGGACATGCTGAGGGGGATCTTTCACCCAGCAACGAGGGGGCGAACTACGGCCTAAGGCCGCTAGACCTTAGACGGCGGACCCTACACCCAGCACTCCTTATCCCCAAGTCCTGCACCCTGCTTACCCAACTTTTTCAGTCCTTTCTCCTGAGAACCGTCTGCGTTCTCTATGGTCCCATCTTAACCCCCTATGAGGTGGATGACGCCACTGCTGAGAAAGTTATGAGTAGACCCTAGTTTGAATTTACATCCAGCTTGCCGACGGGAAGCTGCAGTGAGTTGTCGCGGTACAGAAGCATACCGACAAAGAGCGCTGCCAACTGTCAAGTTTTGAGGCTTCAGGGTTTTTGAGGTAGGATAAATGGAGCTGTAAAGGGAAACATGATGTTGGGTCAAAGGCATGTCCTGCATATGTAGAAGACCTTCATGCGGATTCTGCAGACAGAGCGGCGTGATGAAAGTCCAGGGTGTTCTAAAAAATCTGCCCTATATACCCCTATATAACCCCTATGGTACTCCGGCTTAGAGGCTTGTGGTACGTAGACTTGGGCTCTTGGCTTCCCAAATCATGGACAATGTCAGACTATCAAGGTGAGATAGTGCCCATTACTGAACATTTTGTGTTGTGATGCACTGAACCTCACTTAGATAATCGTTCAGCAGCAAGAAACAAAAACCATCGAAAAGTTGCCGGCTCCACAAAACGACACAGCTAAAACCTCATGCCATGAAGACTGCGATCTCTTGTTAAGGACTCGCTGTAACTAATCGCTTTCGAATTCATGGAAATTCTCCAGTTCGAGGAAAAAGCAATCCTGCTGGCTAACCTCCTTCGCTATCAACGCCGACAAGGGACCCATAATTCGTTTTCTTTGTGGGATGGGATTGGTCACACATAGCTGAACCCGTTCAAAACATCAAAAGATCTTCTCAACGCTGTCCACATCTGTGGCATCCTCCTAAACCACAATGTCTATTCTCATCAGATGTAGAAACCTGACCCAGCATGTTTTGGGCTTCTTGGTGACTAGACCTCGATGCTGCTGCATGGAAGGCCAATGACGTTCCAGAATGACGCCATCAGTCAAGCAAACAGCTCCGTTATGGTAAATGCAAAGCCACAATCGAATTTCAGCTCAGTCGAGGTACACAACTGAAGACAGCACGCACAAAGCAACAAGTTTTAGGCACACCTGGTCCCTATTTTGAGTGAGTGCGAAACTCATAGATTGATGGCCAACCCATGAATCGGCAAGGTATCAACATGAGTGCTGAGGCCCGGTCCAGGCAGACGCCCTCAGCGGAGAGTGGCACGCAAAATGTAGGCATAAATGATGCAGACAGAAGGCTTGTTGCATGTACACTGTGCGCATGCGCATATACGGCTTGATACATCTATGTCCCACACGATGAAGCTTGTGGTTCTTCGTCAGATTACGTAAGTCGCTTGTGCTGTAAAGACCTGGATGTTACAAAACGGTCGCTGGACTCCCTCATTATTTGCAACTCCGTGATTGCAGCAACGTATGCCATTGCTTGTTTACGTGAAAGCCTTAATAAGGTCCCCATACAATGTATCATCGCAGTTGGCAGATAGACGCACCTGCGACACAATACTTGTGTGTTTGGAGCTCGTGAGAACCAGGATCTTTCGTGCTTGTCTGGGAGAAGGTCCTCATCCTCAACCTGAAGCCACAGCCCGACAAAAACCTCAACTTCAAACCTTGCAAGTACACCATGCGCGCCAACAGCAAGTAGAATCTATAGCTTTCTCAGGTGTTTATTTTGCTTTTTTGCTTAGTCTTGGCGGTGCCGCCGCATCAGCCCGTGTCAAATGAGAAGGTGCGTCCGAGACAGAGCTCGAGTTTACAAACCTTCTACCATATCTATGATGAACTATCCAGGATGACAGAAAACAGGGTCTCCTAAAAACTAAACCCCAAAACCTAAACCCGAGCCCCAAACCCCAACTCCGAAACGCTCTGGGCACCCCAAAATCCCAAATCCGGAGCTGCCATTGCCAAAGCCTAGTAAACAGCGCGGCGATCCTTACCCTAAGCACTAACTACCAGATTGGGCTTTCCCAAATTTTGGGTTCAACTTTGGGAGCCCCCCGCGGTACACAAGTATACAAGGGACTCAAGGTATGTTAGGGGTCTAAGTAAGGCTTGCATTTGTGGAAGAACCCAATGCCTACAGCCTTCCTATCCAAATTTTACAAAATATATGCATTTGCCTGCCTTCTTTGAAAACCCCATGCCCAAGCCCCTAATTTAATTACAAAGCGTAAATCATCTGGGCCCCCCGACTCCCAGGATCATGCAGGCGAAGAAGCCCGCATCCAGGCCACGGAAAGTGCCTTGCATGGAGCTGAGCCTTGGTCAGAGAGAATCTTTTGGTGCTTTCTTGCATGGAACTTGCAGAGTGTATCTGGGTTCATGTTACACGTATGTATGCAGGCATGTGGTCATGTATCTAAGTACGTATGTTATGCAGGTGTGCATACCTGGCATTTTGGGATTGTCCAAATTTGCGGAAAAGGAATTCTTGAGTCCAGGCAGGATGAAATTGGCTAGGAGCTTTTAGTGCGCAAGGCATGCGAGGTTTTGCAAGGTTTTTGAGACATGAATTGAACAGCTGGAATTTGGCAAAGGAGTCTCTATAGTCCCCCTTAAGTAGACAGAATATGGCTTTGGATATATTATAATAAGATCCCCATACCTCATAGTCTATCTACTTCAGGGGGACCATCACACCAGAAAACTGCACAACAATGCTACCAATACGATTTCGGGGCTAGAGACAAAGGCGCTTGCTGGGGCCTCAACGAATAGAAATCCAGAGTCCCGGGCTCTATAGGGAAAATGGAAAAGAAAATGGAAACTACTATATTATAACAGGGTATACATTGGGGCAATATTGGGATAATGGAAAAATCGAAACTACTATTTAGGGTATTGAGTGTTTTTAGGGTGTAGGGTTCCCTGAGCTTCGGCGGGACATGGCTTTGACAACGGATTGCAACTAATCGAGATGTCGAGGCTCGGATCCTTATGTAAGAAGGCAAATCCATGGGGCCCCGGCCCGAGTGCTCCGAGCCCTGAGTAAACAAATCTAGGACCTAAATATTCGGGCTGCATAGGGGATACTATGGCGAACCCCATATGTTAACCTTGTCAAGCAAGACGGGAACTACACCCTAACTCCTGGCCTGCTTGGTCTGCCCTCCCCCAAACAAGCATGGAACCTCTTTCCATTGTCCTTATACAACCCCAGTATCTATATAGTAGCTTCCATGTTCTTTTCCATTATCCCTATATAGAGCCAATATACTAAAAAGTATAGTGGTCTTCACAGGACCACAAGAAGATTTTCCATTTGAGTTTGGGGGAGTGCAGCTGGCTCCTCCAGTTTTCAGTAACAATGCACTGGGGAGCCAGCAGCTGCCTTTCTGCCACTGTTGCATTCTTGGTGTCCATCCTGTGTGGTGGCAGGTTTGGGGCACGCCCATACTGACATGGGCATTTCTACGCACAGGAGCTACATACCTACAGGGAACAGAATACGTCGTATGCTAGGGGTGCTCAAGCATGGCCCATACGTGCTGAGCATCCGATATACCGAGTGAAAGTGCTGAATCAGACTCTCTAGGCACCCCCTGCCCATTGAAATCTCAGCAAATCAAACAAGTTCAGTAGAACCTCGGTGGAGGGCCTGCAGAATCATACAGACTTTTGGTTCAGGTGTCAAGGGGTGAGTGAGGCTCTATATCAGGGCTTGCGGTCTTGTGACAGGTGGGTGGGGTAGTGATCATGCTGCGGGCCTCGTGTTTGCAAAAGAGGGATTCCCCACATAATCCCCAAAACTACAAGGATCCCCATCACGTGGGGACCGACCGACATTTCTGCGAGTCCCACCCCTGACCCCTCCCTCGATGGAAGTCGCACCTCCAGTATAATGGCACTGCGATGGACTTGTGCTTCGTGAAGAAATAGTTTCTGTCATCCTCAACGGCATTTGATGCTATCTGTATTTGGATAACTACTTTGGGATGTGGTTTCGTGCCTTTGGGCTCTCTTGGGAAGTAGCGCTTGACATGGGCAACCCTGAGACTCCAGCACCGAACCAAAATCGAGAATGTTTGGTGTCGCCCGTCAGCAGACAGACTCTGAAAGAAGACTGGAAGCTTCGAATGAGCACCACCCCCCAGATACTGATGTAGCGGTGCTACACGTTGAACCTGCCTGGATTTGGAATAAGACTGACATGCCCACCCCGACGATTTCTTCTACAAAGGTCAGCTGCAGCAAGGGTGAGAAACGTAGAAACAACTACTAATTCGAGATCTGAAGCAAGTGATTCACGAGGATTGAGAGGGACCGTCTCTTCAAGAGTTCCTTGGATAGGGGTCTAAGGTTCAGGGTAGAGGTGTGTAGGGACATATCCCCAATAGTGGAGAATCATATGGAAAATCGACAATGAAGTGCACACTGAATAGGATGAACTGTCCTCTGACGGATCCGCAGAAGTGTTCAGTGGGGAAGTCACCAGCATTGGTTTTGTGAGACAGTTTTGTGGCTTGAGCGAAAGGAGGCAAACACATCTATAAACCCTATTGAAATTTCCATTTCATTTTCCATTGTCTTCCGTTTGATTCTCCATTGTCTGGACCCAAGGAGCTCGTGTAGCAACTACTGTTGATACTGAAGATCTTGCATGACCTTAGCATACTCTGGGGTTTAGGGTTACACTTCCCAAGGTGCAAGCCACTGTAGCTGGACAGATCTGGTCTTTCATGCTGCTGCATGACCAATGGCTTCCTCACTCACAAAAGGCTATGTAAGTACCCTCGAAATGGTTTAAGTCCTGATGTGAGGTGTCAATTGCTCACCGCGGTCACTATCCTCACGAAGGATAAAGTCTAAAAGCAAGTCCATGGAAATGCAGTGACGGCTACTCAAGACAAGTTCAAGTCTATCCCAGTTCTGCACCGCAAGCCCCACCTTGTACAAGCGGATGGAAATCTGCTCTTTCAGCATGCTCTGCAGAACCTCAGTCGCACTGGGTTCATGCAGGAAGTGGGGTGCATTTGTTCACGTGGCCCCAGGGTCAGCGGCCAGGCCATTGGGTGCGTCTGATGACCGAGGGACATTAGTGTGTGCACTGCTACAATGCATCAATGCAGTCGGCGAGCACAGCGTGATAGAGTCACTTCACGCGGGAAGTGCGTCGCCCTACTTGCGTTCCTCAGAACTATGTTGATTCCAGTTGGAGGTCCTTGCAATGAGAATTCTGAGCCCCAAAGCCTTGCCCATGTGAGGGTCGAGGGGCATTTCTACTAGCCTGACTCCTTCGCACAGGAAAAGGGAGTGACAGCTGATGTATCGAGCTCCTGAAAGCGTGTCTCTTCGACAAGCAACATCTGGGTCCCAGCTTCTTGACTTTACCATACGTGTAACCCTCGCATCCCATGCTTAATTATGCTGCCCTGTAATTCCTAGCATAGTGACAGGCATACGAGAAAGACTCTGGTACTTCCTAGTTGGGAGGAAGGATGCTACATGGAACATGCCAACCCAAATTCTCATCAGATTGCTCCGTGCAGCTTCAGTTGGGCAAACTCCTCAAAGCATTAGGGTGCCTCGAGCCACCCCGAATCTCCAGGCGGAGGCAATCAAAATTTTACGCTGAGCCAAGTCGCACGACCTGACTCCCGCTCCACGACCACCATGTTGCGATACCTAGTGCCCACGCTTGTTGATGAGGGCCACAGGGTGCATTGGCTTTGGGGTCAGCATATTCGTCAGATGAAGAGGACTAAACTTTTGCTGCTTTCAACCTTGAGTCAGGGGGTGTTACCTCCAGAAAAAAAGGGAAGACCGGAATAGCTTGTGCCGTCACTGGGCCCACCTTCCTCTGGCAAGAATCAAGGATCGCCTTTTCGGAGGCAGATAGATAGATGTATACATGTATATAGACATGTCAAGGAAAGCCATACCCTAAAAGGCAAGAAGGATCCAAAGCGCTGATCTTGCTAAAGGCCTGGGATAGTCACTGGCATGGCATTCAGCCAGATGTGGTTGGAGTGAGATGTCTGGGAGGCGGCTGGCAAGGGTTTCCCACCCTTAGACGGCGTTGTGTGGGTTGTTTTCAAAATTTATGGGCCCAATTGGGTTATAGAATATATTATGGAACCTAATATTTAGGTACCCTAATTTTGGGAACTACCCATGTGGGAGTATATAGGGGAAAGGAAAGGAATATGGGGAAACTACTATAGCAAACATCTTTAAGCTTCCTCCGGACTCGAAGAGACCTTGGAATCGCTACCTCCCTGTCGCGAGCCCAGGGTTAAGCGGTGCAAGATGACAAGCATAAACAGACCTTCGAGGATCATATTTGAATGGACGCACAGTGCACGGACAAGACCTGTCATAAGTGGTACTGCTTGTCATCCCCGTTCAGAGCGTAGTGGGCGCGTGCGTGTAGATTGAAAAATCAGATCCACAACTTGCCTTGCACCACCCCGGGAAAATGGCCGGCTGGAATCTGCAGAGTTTTCCACTGTGACATTGAAACTGCAATCGCCATGAAGGACATTCACAGGGCTCGGGGGATCTTTTAGGACGTTGCTGGCAGCCTGACCCGATAAGGACATTCTCCAAGCCCAAAGAACCCTGGTGTCCTGACAACCCTAAAACCTAAATAGTAGCTTCCATTCTCTTTTCCATTATCCTTGTATAACCCCTATATAGCCCCAATATTACCCCTATATAACCTCTATATCCTCAAACCCTGCAGCTTGAGCTTCACATCCCACGCTCCTAAACCCGCAACAAGGTACCTCCCTGAGTACTTGACCTTGCACCCTGACCGAAAGTACGGCCTACGGTGGATACTAAAAATCCTGCATGACCCTAAGTACTGTATACCTTGGGAATAATAGTATTACCGTATACATTACTATAGTATAGTCACGCAGGATTTTTAGTATCAACAGTAGTTTCTTTCATCCGAACACCCATGCGAAGCCCATCGGACCTTGGCCCTGTCGGCGTAACAAAGCCAATGAGGTTGTTCCTAGGCTAGCTGCCCGTCCGTGGGCTTGACAGCCGCTGTTTCAACATCAGAACAAACGGATGTAGCGAGGTTGTATGTATATCATGTATTATATTATTTGTTCCACTGTGTTGAGATTTGATGCATGAACTTGGGAAACTACGTTTTGTTTTCGGGGGAGGGTTGAACTCAACGTTCAAACATCATTGGGTCGTTGTTGCTGTCTTTTTACCTGTACCTGTCCCTTTCCATGGCGTTCACGGCTGCTCATGCTTTGTTTTGGAAACCTGCTTTGCTGGGTTCCAGGGGGTGGTAGGCCGCGGCCTCCATGGTGTGGGGGCTTCTAGGCCTGCTTCTTGTTGTGGCCAACATCTGACGTAACAAAGAATGATTTTGCCAGCCTGCTTGTGCGTGAACATAGCTGGGTAGCATGAAATCAACAGCTGGTATGTGCTGGTATTCTTGTGCATGGAGGAGACCCTCTTCTATTTCGGTATCTGCGCGAGGCCCTTTTGAAATTAGCTGCTTGAGTGGACAACTATAACTAACCTTGGGGGTTTCGCCTTTTCTGCGGAGACTACTTGGATGTTCATGGGCAGGAGGGATTTTATGACTGTCCTACAACTTCCCTACCTACAACCGCCTTCCGGCAAGTTCCTACAACTGCCCATGAAACTCCGAGTCAATTTCGGGGTGATCCCAAAATTTAGAGTACTTGGGGTGCTGCCGGACCGTATCAATGTAGTAATATGGAAAGGTCATCTCTGACCCCTGACGCCTTGCGGCTTCGGCATTCAAAATGGGATAAGTTTAAGGAGTGGGGGGGGTATATGGGAGGTGCAAAGGAATATTGTGAGGATGTTATAGGGACAGTTTGGAGATACTCCCTGTTGTCCTCATCAGTTTTCCCCGTTCCCTGGCCTGCGCTCATGTCATTGTTGCTCACCCATCTGAATTTTCGAAAACCTGGGGGTTTCCAGAAGTACAGGCAAAACCTACACTCATGCCTTCAAAAGTTCACGATATCTACGCAGGCCCATGCAGCAGCCCACTGACCCCCCAACCAAGCTGTAACACATGAGCAGCTTTTGTTTTGACAATTTGGTGATGGTAGCGTGAGGTTCTGAAAAGTTTGTTGGTAGGCATTTGAAGCTCATGTATACTTGCGGAGCCGCGAATTTCCATTATCAGGCTGTCCTAGCCCTTGCAAGCATCAGGAACTTGCTGTATCCCATGTCCGCTCTTCAGGCCACTATTAGTTACCCAGACCACAGATTAATAACCCCCCTCCCAACCCCCCTTCCCTTAATAGGAATTGGAACCGGGATCCAAGTATTGAGACCCCTAAAAGGAATGGGTTTATTAATCACGGATCTACATTTCCCCCAGCCCATGTCCTAACCCCGAAATCCTAAACTTCCTAAACCTTACACCTTGAATGCCGGATTACAGACCCAAAGCTTTCTGAGCCAAGCGTCCGCGGGTGCTGCGTGCTGTCCTGACTGTGAAGTATGCTGGGCATGTAGGGGCTTCACAGGGCCTGAAAGTGATTCTAAAAAGATCCATACTTCATGAAATCCATACTACATTTGGTGTGTTTTTGCACCGTTCTCCCAGCCGTGAATTGCACGATTGAGGAATGCAGACTCCTGTTTACTCATTAATCGGGACTGGGGAAATGGATCCTAAACCCTAAACCCCTACTGGATCCCATCCCGCAAGGGTTAGCCCGGCGCAGGCCTAGAGCTTGAGGACAGTGGATCTCCATCTGCAGCTGAAGCTTTGGTCTTTGGCTATACCTGTGCCTCAAGATTGGCGTCTTTAGATACACCCAACGAAATTAGGATGCAAAACTCGTCTCAAAGTGAGACACCATAGTACTTTGCTGGTGCATAGGATTGCCACCCACTTCTCCCAGGCAAAGGCTTCCAGTCCCCTTTGGGGGTGCGCCAATAATTCCGATTCGCAGGTATCCGGCTAAAACCCTACACTCAACACCCCAATTCCAGCTGAAACTCAAGCTTTAACCTCTGAAAACCTTAAACCCTAAAAATCGGATCCCAGGCCGGAGACCTCCAGCGTTTTAAGGTTCAGGGTTTAAGGGTTTAGGGCTTGGGGTTTAGTGCTTGGGGTCCAGGGTTTAGGGCTTCGGAGTTGGGGTCAGGGTATGAGGCCCAAGCCTCAAGTACTGAGAATGATGGAGAGTCACATAGAACAGAGATGGAAAGTACTATTTACTGTTTAGGGTTTAGGGGAGTATAGGGGAGAATCAAATGGAATATGGAAAATCAAATGGTAACGACTGCCTGTGGGGACTTATTGGGATTCTGTACTGTACGAGGCCTAGCTAACTACAAACGTTATAATAGGAATGGAGACTCAAATGGACAATCAGTTCAAAGTCAAACCAAAACCTCAGCCCGAAGACCTGAAATCTGGAAAGGGATATCCTCCCCCACCCCCATGCTGAATGCCCATCTATTGTCTCTGTACAGGGCAGTCTTCAAATTTCGTTAGCAAAGCAACCTGTAGTACCGACATCATGCGTCGGGCATTGGTTATACCAAAACACCCCAAAAAATGAACCTTTGATGCCCTCACGCCTTCACCCTTGTTTCTGTAGAAGCCTGAAGAATAATAACTACCAACATTATCCTCACATAACCCTTGCATTATGACCTTTGTTTTGCAATATGTCCCCTTGTAATCCGCATTTAACCACCCCTTTCCAACTTAGTTTGACATCTCTTTTCCATTTGATTCTCCCTTGTTTCTCTTCTTAAAAACCCTATACCCTAAACCGTGTGGAAACCCGTATATACCTTCCAAACCTAGCTCCGTCCTGAGCCTCAACCAGGTAGAAGTGGGGAAGTGACCAGACCTTAGAACTGAAGGGGGTTTAGGGTTCAGGGGTTTAGGGTTCAAATTCTGGGGCCTGAGGTTCATGATTTAGGGTTTCGGGCTTGAGGATGTGGGCTCGAATTTTGGGTTTGGGCTTCATGATATTTAGGGCTTAGGGCTAAAGGTTATTGGTCTGAGTTTCAAAGCGGGGGACCGTGAGGGCGCGCTTGTCCACATTTACAAATATAGTAAGTAGAATGTTGCAATTAGTGATTTACTGGAAAAATTGCACTCACACGGTGGCCTCTTAGATTTTGCGTTTGAGGTTTATGATTCAGGGATGGGGGTTTAGGGTCTTGCACGGAGGTGTCCAGTATGTTCTGGCAAGATGAACCGTCGTCCTTCTGAAAACCAGAAGGGGATAGCATGTAGTTTTGTAGATTTGCGCGGAAGATCTCAGGATCAATCAGGGGCTCTCTGCTGTCTGCAGAGTGTGGAGATAGCTGAGATAGGGCTACTTGCGATTCTTAAGCTTGCCTACCAATTGAATAGGTTACACTTCAGTGTATGCCTGCCCATGCAGAAGTTCTCATAAGACCCGGGCTTTATAGCCGTCATGGCCAGCGTAACCCGTAATAGACTTTTTTTGGACCTGCAGAAAGCTGAGAAAACAAGTGTGCGGCCATGGGGGTTGCATAATGCCTGTTGGAATCTCTTAGATCTGAACCCACAATGTAAAAGTCAAGTCCGACATACTAGACCAATTCTCCAAACCGGTTGCAAGCAAGGTTTGAATGCCCCTAGACCCAATATCCCCCTATACAACCCCTATAACCCCCTCTAAATTTGAAGGTGCCCTGAGTTTTGGTAAACCCCCTATGATGGCCCGAAGGAAGCTGATGTCACCATTCTCAGCCTGGGATAACCTCTGCTCTGACCCCTGGTACTATTCTTATTGCTATTCTTACTATGATTATTATTCGCATCATTAGAACTAATGGTACAAGTGATGAGCCACCCAGCAAGACTGGATGGGCATCACGGAGTCCTTCTCCTGTTAGCTAGTTATTAATGAATACTGAACTTCTGTATATGTATGTATGTATGTAT